GAACGTGGGAGGTGTTTTTGAATGAGCATTTTGTTGAACATTGTGTTTGTCCGGGGTACGAGTTCGGACCAGTGGATTGATCTGGGACCACAGGCGTTAGGGAACACAGAGGCGGTCTCGGCTCTTTGCTCTCTCCGTCATAGTCTTTTGGGACTTGGTGGGGACACTAGCTGGCCGCCTAGCGGTTTGATCTATGATCAACTTTTAAATGCCATCGTTAGCGGCCATGAACATGGTTTATACTGTTCCACCTGTCAGTTGTTGTTTTACATCAATTGCGTTCTATTCCCTGCAGCAGTGTTTTAATTCGTTTTTGGGGGCACTAACAGTTAACTGTTTTGGAGTTTAAGTGGGAGGGTACTTCTGGTACGAGGCCTGACCAGAGGCTTTTAATCTGGTACCACGGGTAATCAGGGGCCCTCGGAAATTGTTCCGTCCTGGTTAATTGGTGCGGCCATTCGGGGAGTATCGTGGTGGTTGTGGTTTAACACCCAAATGCGGGTAGAGCATCGCTCGACGTAGAGTTGCGTCATTCAACCGGTTCCGTGATCCAGAGATCGGAAGAGGCTTAGATGGTCCTCGTGCCAAACCAAGGCAGGGGACACAACAAAACAGTCGTGTCGTTAATTGGTACTTGCGGAATTGCTGTTACAAGGGGGCGGATATTGTCGCTTAAATTAATCCTCTACTAGGATCCGTTAGATTAAGCCATTGTGGTAGGTGCTTAGCGTGCCCTTTGACTTTCATGTCCCTTTCTTTGCATACTAATCTCTCAGTTTCAAAGCTTTCGTTTTAAAACCGTATATACGGTCGTCTTTTTGTTGCACGCAGTACATATGGCAGAACCCGGCGAATAACAAAACTACACATTTATTAGTTTTTCTGTGCTCCTCGTATATATTTATAATATTTTCAACATCGGACCACTATATCATATAGCTAATATCGGAACGATTGGTCAAAAATTAAGTACTTGTATGGACAACTTTTTTGTTTCTCTAAATATCTTATAAAGAAAGGGAGAGACGATCCGACAGAGACAAAAGTAGACGAAGAGACGTATTTTGGTAATTCGACTCGGATGCAGATATTGACTTAAAATATTTATACATAAAAAAATAAATGCAAAATGATATAGTGGTTTTGAAATAGATTTTTCTCATATAGAAGAAACGTCATTTACATAAGAACATAATTTTCGAGCAATCGTTATTATGGCAACTAATAATATCATGGTCGGATCCGGCTGGTTTCGCGATATCTACAGCCTGCAACTGACAGTTTAAGAAGCGCTTAGCTTTTTGACATATTATTTTATTATTATTATTTATTAATGGTCGACAAAACGGGTGTCTTCTTCATTATTCAATAGGTTATACAATAGATTATATGCTAAAAGCCTAGTTAAAGAATACAATTTTCTAAATAGCATCACCGACCGATGGAGGTGTTTTATTGCCAGACCGGCCAGCTGTGCCCCTTTTCACAGCTCAGCTTTGTCGGTGACGCTTTTAGATCTACATCTAAGCAGAAGGTTGTAAGTAGGAAAAAAGTGTTCTCAAGTAAAATTAAAAATAATCTTAATTTGATATATTAATAAAGAAAATACAATAAATAGGAAAAAATAAATTAAGAAGATTGTTAATAAAGTAAAGCAATGTAAGTTAGATAAAGAGTGTTAAGTAGATAGGACAAAGAGAAAAGAAATGGGAAATCACCGACCCGGTGGGGGGAAATTTTTCAGCCTGTCCGGCAAGCTATGCCCCTGCTCATAGCTGGGAATGGTCAGCGACTTCCCGAAGGTATCCTGAGAGCAACGATTTTATTAGGGTTAGAGACAGTTCGGTAGAGAAAACGTGATGCAAACTATTATAATTTTTACGTAGCATGCGAAAAGGATTGTGCATAGCGTAGTCTGTTGTGCACGTAGATAGGAATAAGGGGCGATAATTTCTAGGTGGTCTAGCCGGAACAGAGAATTGAAGACGCCCCAACAGAAAAGGAGAATCTATGTCGCTAATAATCAACTTATGTAGAAGGACAACACCGAGAATTGTCCTATGGTTGGTTAACGATAGAAGGTTGAGAAGAAGCAGTCTGCTGGAGTAGGATGGCAACCGAAGATTAGCGTCCCAATTTAAACCTCGTAAGGCAACAAGCAGAAATTGCTTCTCAACAGATTCAATACGATCCTGGCTATTCTCATACTGTGGAGACCAGATGCAAGAGCAGTATTCAAGGATAGGGCGAACAAGAGAGATGTACAGAAGTTAACGATGGTATCTATGTGAAGATTGAAACAGAGTTTAGAATCAAAAATAACGCCTAGATCCTTAACTGTTAGTATACGTTGCAAAGGGATATTGTCGATTGTATAACTGACAAGATAAGGTGTAGTACGATTAAATGTCATAAACATACGCTTTGAACAATTAAGATGCGATTGATTGGCCGAACACCAAAGGTGCATAGCGTTCAAATCGTCTTGTAGACGAGAATGATGTAGGGGATTAGTGTATGATAGAAAAAGTTTGACATCGTCCGCATACATGAGTACACGGGCATGTGATATAACAGAGGGGAGATCATTTATAAAAAGAGTAAAGAGTAAAGAGTAAAGGTCCAAGATGACTACCTTGAGGAACACCAGAAGTAACGTGAACCCGTTTAAAAGTAGTCAGCCTCAGCATTACTTTTTGGGTCCTACCTTTTAAATAAGAATTAATCCAAAGCAAAAGAGATGGAGGGAAACCTAATTGGTCAAGTTTAAAAAGCAAAATGTCATGGTGCACAGAGTCAAACGCCTTACTGAAGTCAGTGTAAATGACATAATTTACCAAGGAAGTAAACTCAAGCAGATTGGTCGTAGTTGACCGATTCTGTACGAATCCATGTTGAACAGGGGAAACAACTGATTTGCAGAAATGCTGCAAATTCGAAGTGATTATTTTTTCAAAGAGTTTAGGAATAGCGGACAGTTTTGCAATGCCCCTGTAATTTTGTATATCAGACTTCCCACCTTTCTTGTGAAGAGGAATGATATCAGATTATTTTCAAAGAGATGGAAAGACAGGAAGAACTACACTCCTTGAGTAGACAACTAGGAATATTGTCCGGCCCAGGAGAGTAAGAAGATTTTAATGAGTTTATAGCTAATAGGAGAGAGGAGTGTGAAATAATGGGAGGAGGTATAGAACTAGCGGAAAAATAGTAAATGGGTAAGAATAAGTATTAGGACAGACTGAAGAGTAAGTTGATTGGAAAAAATTAGCAAAGAGGTTAGCAGAATCAGTGTCATTGCCAGCTTTATCCATCCCAATAGAAAAAGAAGATGGCAAACTTCAGGATTTACGCTTCAAGTTTGCAAAATTATAAAACTGTCTCGATATTGGGCAAATTGCCTTTTACAACGAGTTAGATAATTCTCATAGCATTGAGAATTAAGAAGAAAAAAGTTCGACTTGGCTATGGAATATTTGTACACGAACCAGACTTTTTAAACTTTTTAAAATATTTAGATTTTACATTAGATGGGATAATCTGGGAGTAAACCAGGGTGGTTTTCAAAAAGTAGTCGAAGGAATTGACTTAGGAATACACACATCTGAGAGGGAGTTTGGGGTGATATAAAAAAATTAATGGCAGTATTCATATCAACCGAGTCATATAAGAAAGACCAGTCGGTTGCATAAATAAGCTGATTCAGCAAAGAATAATAATAATAACAGAAAAGTTTTGACTGGAGAGTGGCTTTAACGGCAATTAACACCCCACAACCTCGAGTGGGGCAGAAATGGTACCCTGTATTGAAGGGACTGGAAGGGTGACAGGCTGGTTACGCTTTTTAGGCTTGAACTCGTGAACAGTCATGTGTGGAGGCCAAAATTTGGGATCACAAATGATTGGGAACATATCATGTGAAACATTTATTTTGAATGATGGTATTTCACGAGGGGTGGAGAAATTAAATTTGGTTATTGACACGCTAGCAGAAGATTTGATAGCAATATAGGCTGCCAATGACTCAGAAGTGGTGTAGGACGAAAGTCGAGACACAAAAACTTGCCTACGAGGGCAACTACCGTTAAAGTAGGCACTGATGGGGCTGTAGGTAATACAGGACTTGGAGGAGCTAAAGAGGCACAATGATTGTTTTTAACATAAGCTTTAAAACCGAGAGATTGGTTTTCATACAGCCATGCTTGGGCTTGGAGAGGCTTCCTGCTGCATCTGACATACATTTTCACAAAAGCAATACACCATTTTCATACATTTCTATGGGCGTGAACTAAACTAAAACTAATCTCCTCAGACCCTATTGCTATAGTAGTATTTGGATTTTGAGCGAATAAACCTGATTTCAATTAACAGCCTACACATTAACAACACAAATTGCAATAAAATTCGAAAAAGGACACACGCAAATGTACGTGTGCACATGCATACAGAAAAGGCCGGCGCTTGTCGCTAATTATGAATTTGCCAATACTTGATTACATTGTCTGCAGTCTCTTTCAATGTTTTCCAAACTTTGTTGGCAACATTACAATACACTCGGCATGGGTATAAAGGGCGCACACATCTGTATACAAAAAACAATTACTTTAAGCAGTAACTTTAAGCCGTGCGATATGAGGTCGAAGTTCAATCCACCTAATTTCTTGGTTGTTCTTTTTGCCATAATAGCACTGTACTCATTAAAAAAATTGTTTTAATAATGGTCATAATGGGCTGTAAAAGTCCAAACCCATGAAGTATATACATATTCTTCATAAGCATAAACAGCAGAATCCATCATGTCTTATATCAGTATGTGTTAGTTTGTCGATTTCCGGTACTATTGAAAATTTGCACATAGGTGTTCCTATTGCAGCCAGAGTTATAAATAGCATTTACTGTAACCTTTCTTACCTTTTAAGTTTGAACCTCATAAATAAAAGTATATGTTTACACTTCTTGCAAAATATATTTTGTTCTTTTGGTTTTGCTGCCGTACTCACCTTATCAAAGGCCATTGGACGGGAGAGCTTATCAATGGTTTGCTGCTGAGGCTGTTGAGTAATGCCACTTACACAAAGAAGCATACTGTCACCCCCATGGTGCTGATGTTTATGCAAAGCAGTTGCTGCTGCACCCGTTGGCTGCTCCTCATGGGAATGTTGCTGCGAATGGTGGTGCCCCAAGCAGCTGCCACTCAAAGCTGCTACAGCCTGAGTTGTAGCATTTAAAACAGTTGTAGTGGAGACCAAAGCAGAATTTCTTTCTCCATTTGAATTGTTGTTGGCGCTGTTAGTTAATACTGCTAATGTCGCTACATTGTTTTTCAATTGTGTCGGGGGCAGAAATTTCCCTGAAAGCTGCTGCGAAATTGTCGTCTTTACACATTGTGGTATTCGCACAAATTGCGCATGAGTTTGCTGTTGTGGCTGTGTCTGATGCTCAGTTATCGACGGTGGTGTTTCAACTGCAATAGCTGGATTGCAAGGAACCATCTGCCGTTCATTTTCTGGTGATGGATTACCAGTCGGCTCCATAGTTGCGCTGCCGTTTAAAAATGCGTTTGATCACTTGATTGCCTTTTTTCGGGATATGGTAAGTGCTCTTAATTTGAAGCCTTCCCGTAGACAGCTGTGCATTGCTTCCGATTCATTTCAATTGTTTTTTTTTTTTTACTCTTTATTTTTTTAAAATGGTTAAAGAGTGATTGTTTTACCCGAAATCCATTTTATATGTTATGTGTGTGCTTGCTACAAAATTAAGAACAGAGTTTACAATTACTAAAAGAATTAACAAGAAAGACTGCTTCAGTCGCGAATGGCTGGACTAGAATAAATCTATCCTATGGGGTCCGAAATGTCACCTAGTATGTGTTACATGTTTCATGATGAAATCAAAGTACCGTCCACAAGTCTATAATAACCATGTTGAATGAATTTTACATACATTTCAACTCATTTATAAAAGTCTAGCCGTACAAACACATGTCCCGAAAGCTACTGTGCTTGACTGTTAGTATTTAAATTTAATCCCCAAGTTAGTTCTGTATGAACAGCCCCGTTGCTTAAAGACCCTTTAATGTGGCATTTAATCATTTAACAATCAATTTTAGCGGAGTGAAGGAAACTTTCACTATCTAACAAACCAACACTAATTTTACCAAGGAGAATATTAAAAGGTCCACATCAGGACACAATGTTTTTTAAAGCTCTTCAGTTACTGATGAAAAAGGTTTGTAGACAAATTGAAAGGCAATTTTAAAATGAAACATTTAAAAAAAAGAATTAGAAAGTTAAGATATTTTCGGCATGCCTAAGATTTAATACCCTTTTAGACTTTTCCCTTTTGCAGTTATGTGAGAATAGTGAATCTCGTAAGTGCTGAGTTTGATGGAAATATCTTCCAAAATAGAATGATTTGCAACGACAAATCTTCCATAAGGCAGTTCTATGATATAGTGGTCCGATGTGATAGGAATTTCCATACATATAGGGAGAATAATGGGTTTGTTGTTCCTATGGCAGCTATTTTACATAGTGGTCCGATGTTGATAAGATTTTATTTATATGTAGGGACCATAGTTGGATTTATAAGTGCCAAGTTTAGTCAAAACATCTTCAAAAACAAAAAAGTTGTTCATACAAGAGTGTAGTTCGATGTTCTTTCTTTGTTTTGTTCGCGCGTATCACGACACGAGTCGCGAAGTACAAAACTAATACAAGCTTCGTCTTTTTGCTAAGACTATTTACTTGCTAAAAAGATTAGAAAACAAGACTTTATACGAGGAGATTAATCTTTTAAAGTCTACTGGAGTATGACGGTAACCGCACACAAGGATCCCAGTTTAAGCACGAAAGTCAATCAACACGAATTATTTCTGTACTGATTCAATTCAGATACATGAGGAACAGATACAAATCGTCAGACTCCTTTGACCATCGCTTGATGAAACCCAAAACAATTCAGGCCTTATTGACCACGGTCTTAGCATGAATGTCGAACTTACGTGTATGATCAAGAATGACACCTTCATTACAAGTACTGTTCTTTAGAATGTCATACCTTACATTAAAAACAGTTCAAATCTAGTTTTGGTTAGATTCCAAGACTGAGACGCATCAATGTCGGATTGAAAAAGATACCATAATGCCATATCTTTCAATGTTCACATCATCAGCATACATTAATACTCAAGAGTGAGGCAGTAACAAGGGAAGATAATTGATGACAAGAGTAATGAGCAGCGGGCCAAGATGACTACCTTGAGGAACACTGGAACTCACCACAATACGTTAAGGAAACGAATTTCTGAAAAGAAACTTTTGGGTTCTGAAATGTAAATAGTTTGAGATCCAGTTGAAAAGATTGACTGGGAAGGCGGGAAGGCATAATTTATCAAGCAGTAAGTAGTGGTTAACTGAGTCAAAAGCCTTAGTTAGTATAGATGACGTCAGCCTGCATTATTTTCCATCAATTACTAGCGAAGTAATCTAAAGAGGGTTAGTGGTTGTAGATCTGTGCTTCACGAACTCATGCTGGTATAGTGAAATAAAAGAACTACATAAGTGTCGCAGTTGAGATGTTATGATTCTCTCAAAAGCTTTAAATATCGCATATAATTTGGAAATACCCCTATAGTTTTCGACAACGGACTTACTCCCTTTTAAATGGAGACAATTCAAAAAGTTTTAAGACAAGTTTACATAGTGCTGCAGCAGATCATCAGGGCCCGGTGAGTAGCCGGGTTGATTGTGTTAAGCTCGATGAGAAGCGAACTTTTAGTAATAATAGGATTCAAGATGCAGTTTGACCTCTGTAACTGATAAGGATAAGGCTGATTTATGTTATACCTAGAAGAGGAGTAGGTGGTTTTGAAGTTTGTGAACATATAGACAATGCCTGGATCAGTACTTGCGCTCTCATTTGCAAACTTAACCGAAGATGACTTACGAAGCGAGTTCAAAGTAGCATAAAATAGTTTAATGGCAACATCAAAATCTGCACAATTGTACAGTTAAGCCCAGTTGAGACTTGCAGAACATTAGCTTACGACAATCATCCTTACGGAAACATCTGACACTATCCGCTAATTCCTATTCCTTGGTAGGCACTCGGGCTGGTACATCAATGACCATATCCAGAAATTGATAAAAAGAGCCTTTAGGCAGTGTAAGCAAGTAAATCCTGTACACAGTACTGCCGAACGAATCCAATACGAACATCAGATTAAGAGATATATTACTTGGATTGCGCACCCGCTTACCCAGCCGCAAGGACATTTCATGTAGACCATCAATAAATTCATTTGCCAATGAGGGCAACAGGGAGTTTGAATCTAATGGCGATGACCAAACGACATCTGAGAAATTAAAGCCCCTAAAAATCAACATGGAGAAAGTAGAGAGGAGATAAATTTGAAAGCGTTGAGATGTCTTTGGTAAATAGACATGTTAGATTGTGAGTAACATTGGAACATTAAAAAAAGATACAGAAAGTTGCAAGTACAACTCTTACAGCTACCAACTCCATCTCCAAGATTGGATGTTCAAAGCGTTCCGACGAAAAAGGAGCCAAAAGTACTCCTCCTCCCATACGGGAAGCTCGATCACATCTATAAGTGGTGTATTTGGGGTACAAATTGAGGAATCTGAGATGTCCGGCTGTGCATATGAGCAGCTGCGGCTCTGCTGATTTAATCACAGGCGAAAAAAAAACGATAAGCGCAAAGTCTTAGATAGCAGGTCCCCACCTGCCGCGCGGCAAATCAGAACAAGACTGACACCAGTCCAGTTCAAATACATGCTCTCTTGGCACCACCCAATATCGACGAAGACATGGGGACTGACGAATCTGAGGCAGAGCAGATAAGCTCAGCCCAAGAAGAGAACTTGCCTGCCTCAACGAATCCTCAGGTTGGTGGTGGCAGCCAGCCAAACAAGGAGGCTCAGGAAGCTATGCAAGCAGGTGGTCAAGGTGGAGACTGCTCGAAGAAGCCAGGACGTGGTGCACTGCCATAGATGTCAGTAGTATGGGCACACAGCCACATACTGTAGAAAGCAATACAAATGCGTTAAATGTGGGCTCAATCATCGCACTGATTATCACAGTTCCAGCAACATGCGTCCACTGCGGTGGTAACCACCCTGCCAACTATAAAGGCTGCGAGTGGTTTACCTAATACACATAGCGTACGGGAGACCCAAAGCCCGCCAAAATGAAAAATCTCCCACTAACTCAAGCGAACCGACGCCGCAGCAGTAAAGTTCATGAGCCTTCACCTGTTGACTTCCCCCGTACAGCACCCACTAAACAAATAGATGGGCTTTCATACGCCTCTGCCGCCAGAAGAGGACAAGCTGCATTCAGCAATGGGAACAGCTCCCCAGCGCCAGCCAGCGAGAAAGACCAGTGCAACCTAGGCTTCATAGACTGCTAAGGGAACAACATCAGGAGAGGCTGACTGCGCAAGAACAGCAACAGCAGACATCTGGAAACCTCAGATCACCTTTCAGTCCCGTTTGAGCTAGATGAGACACCTAAGTGGGTCGTTGGCATTCGTGAAATGCGCCCGCCTTGCTGTCACTTGGATGCCTATCGGACCTGCCTCGAGGACACCTTAGAGCTCAGCGTCGCAATAAATACGGCAAGCGAACTGGAGAGCTACGTCGACCCCCTGACAGCGGAAATAACAGAAGCTGCCAGACATGCAGCCCCGCAAACCCCACCTCGCCATCTTACGTTTAGAAGCTGCCTGCTAAGCCGAGAAGCCAGGAGTTTCCTCGCCAACAAAAGGCGTCTGAGAACGCTGTACATCCGGAATGGCGATCCCTCTTCCATGGCGGAAATGGTCAGCGCGTCCAACCGGCTTCGACGACTGTTGGCTTAGACCCGAAAGGAAAACTTGATAGCCTTCTTGAAACAGCTCGGCCTGACGGCAACAGCACCTTGTCAGTGTTGAAACTAACCAGAAACATTAAAAGGCAAAGAATTTATACCTCATTGATCATGGATCGTTCAGGCCTCTGGCTCCGATCGGCCGAGGAGAAGGCCAATGCGTTTGCTGACCAACTGGAGGCGACCTTCATGCCATTCCTATTCGCCGATGTCTCACAGCGCCGTAAAGTGGCGCTGAATCACTTGATGCAATGTGCACCGCTCTCCTAAACGGGAGCATATCCAGTTGAAAGCGGTCGAGCTAACTTAGACCCCTGAACGTGACGAAATTAACAACAGAGCAGCCGAAGCACTCCCACGCAAAGATATCATGGCGCTTGCGTTAATTTCAATTCAATGCTCAGTCACTTCCCGAAGCAGTGGAAGTGTGCGAATATTATTATGATCGCAAACCCCGCTAAGCCGCTAACTCAGCTGGAAGCTTACCAAGGCGGTAATAAGCTTGCTGCCGACGCTTTCCAACGTCTTTGAGCGACTCCTACTAAGTCGACTTATTGAGTTCGACGAGGTCACGCGCCTGATCCCGAGCCATCAGTTTGGCTTTAGGAAGTCTCATGGCTGCCCTGAGCAGGTCCACCGAGTAGTTAGGTGTACTGGAGGTATTCGAAAAGAAGGAATGCTGCATTGGAGTTTTCCTTGACGTCAAACAGGCGTTTGATAAGGTCTGGCACGACGGGCTTCTCTATAAAATCAAAACGCTGCTCCCTGCGCCATATTTCAGCATCTTGAGTTCATTCCTAGCAGGACTCACCTTCTACGAG